AGATCTTGTTTGATATTTTCCAATCTCAATTGATCACGTTTCTTCCTCATATGATAACCCAATTTGGGTCACCAATCCCAACACTTTCAAGAAACAACCTATCTGGATTCCTTCCTACAAATATTGAACGACTAATGTCTTTGGATTTACTTGATTTTCAAGAAACCACTTCTTTGGTGGTGTTCCAAATGGCATTTCTCAGTTGGATCAACTTGGAGTGTTAGATTTGTCATACAATAACTTGTCGGTCAAAATTCCACAAAGCATTTATTTACGAACTTTCAATGACTACATTTGGGGCAAACCCTGGACTTCGCGGCGACGCGGCCTTCCATTTACAAAAGTTTGTCCGGGAGATGAAAAACCTGGAGGAGGAAGACAAGCTTATCAATGATGGATTTTACATTAGTATGGCAGTAGGATTCATTTTTGGATTTTGGGGAGTATGTGGAACTTTAATACTCAATAACTTTTGGTGCCAAAAAAAGATTCCTGTTTCTGATCCCAAGTTTATTAGGNTGTGTTTCTGATCCCAAGTTTATTACGTATAAGGCGTGGGTTGCTGTTGTTGTGTTGGAGTGAGGAGTGTAAAATATATGGATAGCAAAAGGCACGGTCATGAGTCCTTGGTTGGTTGACGCAGAGATAAATGTATTGAGCTCGAGCCTTGATATTTAGCTCCATCTCATTGAAATTAAGCCTACATTCAACTAACTGCTATACCTATCCAAGGGTCTAATGGAATCAAGTCTTTTGCAATTACATCGACAAGTGTAAATTTTAGTCTACCTCTCCCTATTCTTAAAAGAAAAAATTGGCAAACCAAAAAATAAAGGAAAAAGAAAACAGGGGGAACCCCAAAAGTTCATGTTTTCAATTTTATGCTCAATTATTTGCCCCAGCACTACATAACGTCCTCAGGTTAGTAAGTTTTCATCTGTTCCTCAGGTTGAGCATTACGGCAGTCGCCGTTTTGATTTCATCTTTCCAAAAATCTTGAATGTCCCAAAGAGTATATACCACCTGTCATCTTGTTCTAAACTCCTACTTATAAAAGTATCCCACATATCCTTCCATCTTCCAATCATTCTCAGACAGAATTGCACCCAACTACAACCCCATTGAACTATTTATAGTCCTGACCATTATTTGTTTGAAATACCAATGAGACACTTTATTTCTTGCTTCTCCCCCTTATACATACGGCCGCCTCAATATTATGACACATTCAATCTGCAAACATATTATTCATCCTATAATTGATGCTGGGTTAGCTGTTAGCTCGCATGGTTCTATTATTCGTTTTCCACTTCACCAAACGCTCGAGGGATTGGTGCTTGAATGTAGAAGGTTCTCATTTCTTTATTGCTTCTTTTTGTTTGCGTGTCTCGAGGCTTATTCCTATGTGACCTGATGCTAATCAATTTAATTGAATGGATAACTTCATCATGTACTCAGGCAGAAGTGTTTGGTTCCTTTCAAATGTATATGTTGGTTGATGGCATCGAAGACTTACTCCTCTAAAGAGCAGAACCTGATCAGTTTCTGTTTTTGGTTTACAGCTCAAACTAGGAACAATGGATCAAGATGAAGCTCAAAATGAATGGGTCATCAGGCCATACATGAACACAGCTAAAAAACGGATGTTACTTGGAGAATGACAGGACGATCCCCTACTATGTACCAGTAGCCTTTCTTTTCTTGTACCAAATCGACGTTTAAGAATTAATCTGTTTCTCCTTATAACTGGTTTTAATTATATTCCAGTTTTCTGTCTAGAATTACGAATGGATGAACTTCACGAGTAACA